CAGTTCCGTAAAGGATCTAGGCGTACTCTCACGCTATGATCTGAAGTCTGTTGACAACACGAACAGACAGTACTCAAACGGACTACGCCTAGTTTGGGCACTTCAACGCAGCTTCTGCACTTGATCTGAAGAGATTGCTACCCGTCTGTTCTCCTCCCTACTAAGACCGGTGCTTAAGTGCGGTGCACCCGCCTATTATCCGATCACAATAGATGAGGTGCGGAGACTGGGACGGGTTCAGCATGTAGCTAGCTGGCTCATCACCAGTTTACGGGGTATGTCGTACGAGGACCGATGTAGGAGACTAGGGCTTTATACCATATTGTCGGCTTCGAGTTGCTCTCATTATGACGCACCGGATCATGCACCTGGGCCACTTCCCTATGTTGAGGCCGCTGTTAGACCTTCGCGCAGCACGCAGCACACGCGGACATCGGTACAAACTAGTGGTACCGGAATTAAAGCTCATCGCTCACCCTCTATGCTTCGAGCGTCGAGTGATGCAATATTACAACAACTTGCCGGAAACGCTAGTAGTCGGAATTTAAAAGCTTCCTTGATACGCATTTTGCGGACTACTGGTATAGAGAAGATCTAGTGCAGCAATATGCTGCCACCGCTGCAGGATTCAGCGACTTAGTTTAGCGTCTGCGCTCGATCTACTCACGATGGCGCAACACAGATTTTTATCTTCTCGCTCTCTATTTTCAGTATCCAGTTCGGGCAAGTCCTGCCTGTTGAGCAATCTGTAAGAAGACGCGCATGTCGATGCATACCAGTCTGAGGGAAGATCGAGGACTTCAAATAAGAGTGGATACACTTTCGTTATCCGCCTGATTGAAGATGGACTTTTGGACTAGATCAGAGTCACGCCCTGCAATTGCGGGTGAATTTAGACTAATAGATAACTGCCTAAGGAAACACGATGAGGGAGAGCCTGTAATCGGGGTTTAAAAACTCATGGATACAATAAAACTTGCAGCGGGACAAGAAGGATGAAAGGCACAAGAAGGGAATAAGAAGACTAGAAGGCCCGAGAAGTAGCATCCAAACCCTTATCCACCCTGGTCGATCCAGCAGATAGGGCGCCGTTGATTATCCTCTGTGGCGGCCATAGTGTCACATTGTTTGAAGAGAAAGTCGTCGCATTGTACTGCGTGCGCAGGTTGTATAGGCATAGACAGGAGAACGACTAGGGTTTTCAAGACAGCTTCCAGGTATGAACCACCACCAGGTGGGCCATACTGCATAGGTCATCTGCCGTGCAACCAGCCACAGTCAAAGTTTTGCCCATCACTAAACACGAAGTCTACCGCATTACTGTTTGACATCGTCTACACTTTCAGTTCATCAGACTTTGGACTATGAATGCTAAGCCGCCTCCAAAACCTTTTAAATCGAGACTGCGTGGGAGAAAAATCTTTTACTCATTGTTGCTCCAGCTTACGTAGGTATGTTTCGTGTGTCGACGTCATATGACTGAACTAGACTTGTCCTGATTAATCTGATCAGTACTGTTTCAGGTCACTTTTATGAAAAGGGATATGCAATCATTTCTCCAGTTGCCTAGCTATGGTGCTTTGCACTACGCCGCACTCATTCATCTTGAGTATCAAAGAGGCACTCGACATTACCATCCATGAACTAACCCCATCGTTTCCAACTGCGTCGTCACGTTTCTGTTGCTCCTTCCACTATTTCTGCTTCACCTCACTCTGGTGCTCTCAGTTGTTTCCCTCACTGTTGACCGTACAGGAACCGTTTCACGAATCACTTGAACATATCTGTCGACACTTCACCACACGTGTCCCTCGACCGTTATTCACTTGTAATGCTCCAGTCACTTTCTCATCCCAGTACAATGTTGTTTTTCCTCTTGTGAAGTTACATACAACTCTGCTCTACCATTCTTAGTGTAACAATTCATATTTTCAACTAACAGCTTTTATGCCCCAACTTCGAGTGCCCACTTCTGCACGCGATCTAGCGGCACTACAACAAAACACCAGTACGAAATCATGTACTAGTTGCACTCACGTAGGTTGGTGGCTGAAACGATGCGCCGTCTATCTTGTAGTCCGGAGGTCACCGATTCGAGTTTGCGTGTGAACTCGCAGCGCCACTAGTCCACGCACGACTGGTGGTGGTCATGTGGCAGCGAAGTGTCGGTACGGTGTACCGACGTACTACTGATGCCTTCTCTTCTGCCTGCACTCACAATTCGCGTCTCGATTGACAGCCCACTCTGTCACGCAGCTGCCATCCGTTGCTCGCAGTGTGTTGTCTATTGTTTATCGCTGGATTAGCTTCTCACTATGTATGCCGAAGGCCGAACTCCAGCCCTCTTGGCATTTGGTGCAGTTCGTCGTTTCTCACGTGGCCAGGCCCGTGGCTTAAAAGTAACGTGATTGTTTTGTAGTCTGACGGCGCGGTTTCGAGCATACGTAGGGGCAGGGCGACTCGCGCAATATTCTTAGCCCACTTGCGATCGGTGATAGTTGCGCGGCAGCGCAGCGCCGTTACGGCGTACAGCTGTGCATAACCCTAACTTCATCACCGCCGTACCGATTCTCTGACACAGCTTTTGTGGCGACGTCTGGAAAATCCACTGCCGATTCTCACGTGGCCGACGGACAGGGTGCACCAGTTTATCGCCTTTTGTACCCCAATGCCTAACTTTTAGTCCACACTCGAACTCGACACTGCCTGTCACCTTCCGCGTACACTTCTTTATAACCCCATGTGGATCAACTACACGTGTTTGTATGCCCAAGTTTCCGTTGTCCTAGTAGTAGTAGTAGTAGTAGTAGTAGTTGTTGTTGTGTTGTTGTAATACTTGCATCCTCTTCACAGAAAACCACATATTGCCTGCATTCATTTCATTATTTACGCGGCTACAGTCGATTAGTGAATATACAGTACGTACCTAAATGGACTGGTCGCTTTTACCAATGCTGGTGTAGTATAGAACTATGTTAGTTCTCTGCCCATGTACTCGAAATTATCTCCTTTATTCGTTGGTGGCTACCATCACTCAGCTAACCTGGCTGCACAATTAGTGGATGCCCCTGATTCCCGTTTTAGCATAGTTCTCAGTTGTTTAGGGCGAAATGTTTTCAGTATAGATCCACACATCGGGTTGTCCACTTCAGAATGCTAGCTCTAGAAGGGGCTAGGCCAGAGCAAACGTGGTGACTGGCTCGTTTGCCTGCTTTGCTAACTAGTTACTCTAGTTTGAACCCAGTTAAGGAACCATGGGTTCTAAGTCAATCTACATGATCTGATTCTAAAGTTTACTGCTCGCCATATCATGTTGATCTATGCTATCAGTGTAAATTTCTGTTGTTGTTTGTCCGTAAGGAATTAGCAAATTCTCACTCGCAAGCTGTCATTCCAAGCGTCATTATCTGCTCTGGTCTTCAATTTCCATGATCCACCTTTTGTACAGGTATGCACTTACCCGATCATACCGATACAGGTGTCTCACATCGTCTATAATAGAGGCTTCTTTATTTGTTTTTCTTTATGCGTGATTACAGTCGCCTTTTGTCGCTAAGCACACTTTTTGAGCGCTTGGCTTCAGACTTATCCGCTACCTGGTCATTAAGACACTATGTGCTGTCAACGTACCATTAGCGTTCGCCGTGCTCGTTATTTGTTAGACTGGCATGAAAGCACGCCTGATTGTCGGATCTGGTTTGTTGGATACTGCCTCCGGAATAATCCACTATAGTCGCAAATCAGTGGCTCTTTAACGTCTGGGTCCCTTTTCCGGTTAACGTTGTCTCGTGCTCCTAGTCAAACTTGTAACGAATATATTTTTACCTGAACTTTTATTCCGGGTTGCAGCTTACTCTTCCTAGCTACTGACTGCCCCGTTTTGGATGTGACACGCTCGGCCAGCGGCTAAGATCTTGCAAGAACCCATGCCAGCTACTGTTCGAACTCGAGCCAATAACAAAACCCATGTGACGCAGAGTCCAAGTGCACTTTACCATTTGTTGCCTCCTTGTACCGATTCGCTCCTTTTTGTTCTAAAACGACTTTTGAGTGCCACATTTTGCTCTAGAAAATCACTGGGTTGATGTAACGTTCTGTTCGATACGCCATCACTTCGCATTGAGGCTTTGTCGCATTACAGTCACAACGGATTGTGCCCGAGCTAGGAGGATGCTGTCGCTGCATCATAGATCTCAAGACAAAGTACCTTTGCCAAACTACCATCGAAGCATATTAAAACGCCTGAATGGTCTATCCCTTATAGTTGGGGGTTTTTCTTTTGCTATAAGTAGTGATGTTGTTTCTTCTCCCGGTAGTGTTGTCTATCTAGCGAGACTGCCGTTGGGGTTGGATATGGTTACGACAGCAATGATCGCATACAATCCGCTACCCAGCTACACCAATGATTGGCTCATCCCTCTAGAGTACTTGAGTTAACCCCATTTTTACCATCATGGTCGCTCCAGTTCTATTTTTCCAGTCAACCACTGGCATCCGTCTCTGGGCATCGTCAATTCTCACGATGATGAACAGGCGCACCAAATTGGCTAGACACGTTATTTATTTGTTTCTTGAATTAGCAATGTATTCGCGTAACTCAGACCACGTTTGTCATAGACGTTTACACGTTTTTCGCGCACAAGACGGATCGAAATACAAAATGCACTGAATATAGGGCAACGCGTTAGTTTCCATTGGTTTCCAGTATTGTGGGCGCTACGATGAATAGGGAGAACAGGTTTGTAATGACTGACAGCCGAGTGTTCACATATTTAAGAAAATTATTGACACGTGGACGTGCTGTATTACTGACGGGCGCATTACTTGGCAACTTCGACACGGTATCGCACTCATTTAATCGTTGTCATGTGGTTTTTGTAGATCTTTGGTCTGGCTGGAATACCGCTGCTTTCGAAACAGCCAACTCGCACTGTACTTTATTCTCGCTTCTTTTCCCTCTCCTCAACATCTGCCACCCTGTTTGTCCTTCCAACCTTCAGCTCATCCGCCTGAATCACTTATCTTAACTACCACAAATGCGATGCTCGACGCTGCATCCGCGCCGCAGAGTTTATCTCTTGGATCCTGTCTTCCCTCTACTACTGTTCAACAATTTCGAACCATTGTTGGGAGCTCCTCGCCGGAGTCACAGTTTGCTCAAATGGATGGCGGTTATACGAATACAATCCAGCCTGAATCGAATACGAATATGGTCTCTTGCTCCTCTAGTGCCACCACAAACAGCTTAAGCGGCAGCAGCTCCGTCAGCAGTGGCAGCAGCGCGTCTTCTTTGGTTGCTGGCGTTCCAGCAGATCATACTACTGACATTGGTGCCGGCCTTCTGGTAAATTCTCGACGTTTTCTCCCCGTTTTGCATGATACTGTAGTGTGTCACCTCAGCAACTGATTGGTAACTTTTTTTGAACATCATCATCATACACGTTAGCGTCAGGTGGAAAACAGCTATTTTGCCGCAATACTAAAGACAAGAAGAGCAAGACTATGGCACGCCGGTTAAGTCTCCAGTAACGGATGGACATTGTTCCGGAGAGCTAACAGCCGGCTATCGTGCCGCACAAAGAGTTATATTATGCCTAATAGATGAGATCGTGATTGGAGGAGGAGGCTAAGCAGGAGGAGATGGATAAAGGAACTCACAACGCAAATGCCATTGGGGCCGGCTCCTAGCCATATCAGCAAGTGTGTCCAACCAAACGTGTTCATCGTCCTTAGGACCCCAGCCAGGCACTCAGGATGCACCAACCGACGCCAACTTCGAATTAAGGGTTTTCATTTCTCTCGACTAAGTCATCGCTTGTCCTCCTCCCCGGCGCGCAAACAATGCACGTCGCGGGAGTCGGTGTGCTAGCATGCGCAATACGTACACAACTATCATTTCGATCTGTCCTGGTTACCGTTAGATTATATTTACCTTGACTTCACTGTTGTTTAGCCTCTTCTGGCGAGTCCGGTACTACTTCCACGCTACGCACCATCCAGTTGTTTTTGACCTTTCACATTAAGGCATATTGACTTTCGCGAAATTCAGTGCTCACTGAGTTTTCCTATTCTATCTCTTGGGTTGCATTCCAGCACACGATCGACCCGCAGTACCTCACTGCCGAGCTCATAGCAACACTATATGAATTGGCACATTGTTCGTTGCACCTCAACGCAAACTTTTCATATCGATTTCCTTCTTTTCATTTTTACCCAGCATCAGTTAATAGCGAAATTATACTGCCGATATGATACTATGTTCACTTCCTTGATTTTATCATTGCAGCAAGCTTTGTTTCAAGAACTGATGCCCGACAAGGAAGAATTACTACGCCGTTTTGAGGCCGTCATTTGTCCCTACAACGCTCTTCGCGTGGGCCGGCCATCTTTGGGACAACAGGTTGGCAATGCCAATGCGACGAACGCAGCCGCGATCGCCCTAAGCCGCCTAGTAGATCAGCAGCAGCACTGTATTCAGCGATCTGTTGCCTCGGAGACTGTCATTGACCGCAGGTCGCCGCGACAAGTTTCTCAATGTCCACATGTCTCTGCTACCTTCCAGACCCAAGTCACCAGAAGGGATATGTTAGATACTTGTGGAGACGAACTGTCTTTGGACGATCTACCTATCGTTTCCGTTAACTCGAGTGAGCTTCATCGGACGCTGAATACGGAGGACCTGTTGGAATCCGCAACTCTGGGTTCAAGCGCTTCGAACACGACTCCAATTCTTTCTTCTTGTCATTCTTCATCCTCGGCGCTTTCTACTCCCGAATGTTCCGCGTCTTCTTCCGCTGAGGTCGCCGATTCTATTTGTCTACCTGGCAACTTCGCAACGGCCACCATGGGTCCCGCCTCACCACTGGCCTCTCAAGAATTTGAGCTTGATAAGGCAGCTGAATTACTCATGCCATCCATCGACTCTCCATACCTAGCCGGGATGATAGATACCGTCGGTCTTGCCAGTACACAGGGCCTTTTTCACGAGCCCTCCAACCACGAAATGTTGGCCACTTGTCGACACTATCACGTGAGTTCTTGAGTTGATCCTTATGGGTTCGTCTTCATCATCATCACGAACAGCAGGACATCAGCCATTTGAACTGATGCTTTGCTGCCGTACAACCATGGTGGCCTAAGCAACGAAAAATATTAACCAGAAGCGGCACCTAGCGTAAAACCATAATGCCTGAACCAAACATTCAGGATCAAGGTACCTGCACCTTTTGTCAGCAACATACCGTCACAAACAGCTGACTATTATGCAATGCTAAGGCGGCATTGGCAAGGCAGCTTCCATGCAGCTTTCATTACCCCGCGTCATAATCAACCATTATCCAGCAGATAAATCAGCACCGAACACTTTAGATACGCATTCCGACCGCGAGACGACAGCATGCACGCCACTGGTACCGACTGCGAGCTATATTCTGTAATCTCTCGAGCCAAGCACAAGGCGAGTCATTTAGACTCCAGCTTGGAAAATGAGACTTACCTACAGCGCCAAGTTTAATCGTCAGTGAATTCATTTCCTGCTGCCAAGTCAACCTTTTGCTCACCTCGGGCCTTTCGCCACCCTATAGCTAACAAACAAAACAAGGCCCTCAGTAAGCGGTGAGCAGACATGCGTGGTACCTATCCAAGCCAACGTAACTTATTCAATTTTATTTTCTGTTCCAAGGAACCAGCTGAATTATCACTGTCTAGTAATCGCCTACGCACATCATTGTTGCGGGCACGCTGTTGCCATCCGACACTGGCAGTGCTTCGCAGACTAGTGACCAACTACTTAAAGGTGCCGCGGATCCTCTAATCGAAGAGGCCAATTCCTACTCCCATAGAGTAGGACGACCTTCACTGTGACCTTGTAAACACGGTTTTTCAGGCCGAGGCATACCCCTTTTTGACGCCGCGGAAGTAGGAGATTCAAAAAGGCATTTCTTACGTTTGCAATGCGTGAACTGACTTCAGTGCTTATGCGCCCATCGTTGCTGATGCAGCTGCTAAGGCAGGTGAATTGATCAACTACCTCGAGTTCCTCGTCATCAACTATCAAGGGGTTATTAACTGGCTGGTGTTCCTTCAACAACACCTTGTACTTTGAGGGCGCATAGCGCACGTCACATGATGGGACCACCATCGAGGTTATTCAGTGTTAGTTGGGCCATCCCAACATTGTTAAACAACGGACAATATCGTCCGCATAATCAAGGGCAATTAGCTTTTCTCCAGGCAGCATCACAACGCTTGCATCGTGAAATTCTACAAGGGAACACTTTAAGGGGTGGTCCCCAACCAATTCGAGCAAAAATGGTGAGATTGGGCGATCCTGACGAACACCATTTGTTGTCGGAAAGATATCTGCTAAGTCACTGTAGACGCTGATGCGGTCTGTGGTGTTCGAGTATGGAGCACGTAAAATGCTCACATATTTCATGGGAACCCCTTTCAACGCAAGTACTTCGAACAGAATGCACCGATCTACTGAATCGAACGCACTCTTGAAATTGAGAAACACAGCTATTGTCGTCCTGCGGTACGCGTGGCGCTGCTCTAGCACCTGCGACAGAGTGAATATGTGGTCTATACAGCCCCGTCCTGGGCGGAAGCTTGCCTGTCCTCCCCTACTCCGGGATTCCTGTTCTGCAGTGATGCGACGAACAATAATTGAGGTCAGTAATTTTGTCAATTCAGACGTTAGGGGATACCCCTGTAGTCAGTACAGTCGGTACTACTGTCTTTGTATATATTTCACTATAACCGATTCACCCCAGTTTGCTTAGATGGTCTCTTCTTTCCAGAACGGTTCGAACAGAAATCAGTGCTTTGCAGAGAACCTCACCACCATCCATAAATAGGGCGGGTGCGAGTGAACCCGGACCCTCAACACAAAAACCATTAAGGGTTCCGATGATGTTTCGGACCTCAACCTCTGATGAATCCTGTAAACTAACCAGCCATGCCTCAGCCTGCACCATCTGAATAGGAAGAGGTCCAGGAGCAAGGGGCCAACTGAACTGATCTCGAAGATGCTCCGCCCAGCGAGCCATGCGGCGCTCCTTATTGTGAATCAGGGCATCCGAGCCGTCTGAGTGTGTCGCTGACACCTGGTTTTCTGGGATCACTGGTTCGGATCAGTTGGAATAACTTTCGATAATTGCTTGCTGCTCCAGTCCCCTCCATTTCTTGAGGCCGACTAGTTCACCAGGCTTTCTTGTCAGTACACAGGCTTCGTTTTAGTTCGTGTCTAATAGTTTAACTGGTTACATAGTGCTCAGAACCAGCTGGGAGTTTTCTGTATTCCAACATGTTCACCGACCTATCGGATATCCAGTGACTGGTGCGGTGACATTTGATAGTGCCGCAAGCAAAGGCTTCCGCATCGTGCATCGCGGCCGAGATACTATTTACTTAAAGTTCAGTGTCATTAGGGCAGGTGAACGAACGTTCGGTACCCAGGACATCCTGGTAGGCTTGCTTTATCGGGGATTGAGGTAACCTCAGTTGGCAATCGAGGAAGGCGCTTGGTACACTTACTCATAAAGTTCCTGGTAAAACGACATAGTACTAAAACATGATCAGTTCCGACGCAAGTAATCAAGCACCAGCGAAAATCCAGGATGGAACTAGCCAGCTGTAAATTATGGCAGAGTGATATCTTGGAGTCTATCGCTGATCAGGCATAGGTGGACACCAAGTGGCACTTCATCACCCACTGCCTAAAAGCGGGGCAGACACAGCTGCAACAGACGCTCGCCGTTTTCTGTCCGGTCGGAGTTAACTCCATGCTTACCACCTAGCTGCGCTTTAAAAGTAGACGATTTACTTGCGCATTCATATACACTGTAATAACAGCGATTTATGAACTGATAGCACTGCGAAGCCTTGTGCTCATTTCGTGATAGAAAGTATTCTTTGCAGCATCAGAACTGTAGGCAGTGCGGGCATAAGCGGAAACTACCAACGAATGGTGTCTAGCACTACTTAGTGAATCAACTTTGGTCGATGCCGTCATACGGATTACACACGAACAGCTATTCACAGGATCGCCGTCAATCAATCAGCTTTAAAGTTGCGAACGATGCCCACTCTAGCTTGACCAATGCTCGCCGCATCAGCGTCTCCGGATGCGTGCAACCAGTAGAGAGAGGACAAGCCAGGCGAAGTTAATTCAACAACCCCGTGAGAGTCATTTACCCTAGTTTCGGTAACGCATCACTACCCAATGTGTCTAACGGGCGTGCGAGTACAGCCTGTTGATTTATTTGTCTTAGAGTGCGAACCTTGAATGCTGCCAACAAACGGGACAGATTGGCCTTATAAGCGGCAGTTGGCGATTGGTGGAAAGATAGCTGCATCTAGTAGAATGCAGGGACGTATCGGCGGTTGCCAATTAAGCTGAGAATTATAAAGGAAGTTTGTAATGTGGCTCGGGAGGAGAGAAACAGGTGGCACAGAAAGAAGAGAGACGCCAGCAGTAGCATTTTTTCTTATCTGCCGTGCTGTATACTGCAGATAGCTTGATTATTTTAAGGCTGCGCGATGGCCGAGGTAGGATGTGGTTAACAGATTGAAGAAACAGTCACGGTTGTACGTGGGGTGAGATACACCCAGAGCGCCCAGACATAAACATTAGAACGATTGGGGTCCTAAACTACAGATTTTGACTCAAAAGCCTGTACGCAAGGCAGCAAGGAGGTGGCAATGATTCAGTTTTGCAGCAACGGATGCCATCTCATTTTAACCCCCCCCCCCCCCCACCCACCCAGCCTGGAGGATCAGGAGTCTGGGTTCGTCTAACCTCCAACCATTGACCAACCTGGTAGGAATAGCTCTGAAGTGGTCTATGGGCCCCACCTAGTATGGCTCAATGAGTCGAAGAGGTACGCATCCGCAGCACGCTGGCATATCGTACTGACGCTTCACTGCCACGCGACCACCACCGGTCGCGCATCGGCTAGGTGTATCGCGAGTTCCCTCGCAACTACGCGGATTCGAACCGGTAACCTCCTTATTACAAGACGAATTCGCAATCCTTTCGGCCACCGGCCGACTATTCCAGTTATGTAGCATCCTCTAATAACTGCAGCAGCTTCCTTCATTTATCGCGTTACAAAGATGTGTTCACCTATCGTTTCTAAGCTACCCTTTACGCTCTTGCTTATCGGTAATGACACGACTGTTGTTCTGTTGTCCCATTTGAAAGCCATTTTGCTCCGTTAACTGGACCTCCTGGAACCGTCTAGTCACAAATATTCAGTTGATCGGAATGAGTCTAACGCTTGCTTTCATTTCTGCCGTTTGCCTTGTAGTCATTCTTGTCGGGCAGTTCTGTGCACAAGGAGGATGGAGAAAGTATACGTGCTCAACAGTTTCGCATTTAGGCACTTATTGACTTAGGCCACTAACGATGCATCTGTATCCAATCACAGTCTCCGTTACTTTGCCCTAACGAGCTTGAAGTTGATGACCAGTTTGTCCTATGCCGTTTACCTCTATGCTTAGTTTTCACTATCACTACACTTCGCTCTACCTTCATCCCTCGCTCTTTCTCTTCATTGCTTTTCCAGCATCCGGGCACACACATTGGTTGTGTTATGGACGGCGCAGCTACTGCATCTGCCGTGGCGAATCTTACTCACCCGAATTCTCACCCCGGTCTACATCATCATCATCACCACCATCATATGCACCATCATCCGTTAGCTGTTCCACCCGGTGGTGGTGGAGAGGGACTAGTCTCCTCCGGCATGTCCGTTGAGGCTTTGATGGCCAATCAAGCTGGTGCACTTGCTTACGACCCCGCAAATGTGATGGCCACCCATCCAATCCACCAGTCTTCCCTACCGATGAATGGTCCTCGAGTCATACCGATGGGCTCGGCGGCTATGCTTAATTCTACCGGTACTTGCATGTCCACAGCGCATGTCTTGAATCCTGCCGACATGTCTTCTGTTCATCATCTATCGAATCCCGCAATGAGCACGGAACCTATCACGCCAGTGAACTTACCATCCTTAATCGATGTCAATGCATGTATTGAATCGAGCATGGAAACTGCACTGACCTTAGCCTGTCATGGAGGCTACACCGAACTTGTCCGGCTGCTTCTTGAACGAGGTGCGGACCGGGAGCATCGGGACAAAAAGTCGCACACACCCCTGCATACCGCTGTGTACGCAAACCAACGCGCTGTGATTGCCCTGCTGCTTGACTACGGGGCTGACGTCGAATCGCAAGTCGATCGAACAAAAGACACCGCGCTTTCAATAGCGTGTTCGCATGGCATGTTTGAGGTAGGTGTCGAATCCTTTTATGTGTATCATCACCTGATCACTGTGAATAGTTCTAATTAAAGCACGCAACTGCTGTGAACCTTGGAACCTTACTCACTCTATCAGGCCACCATACTCACTATATGTGGCTTCTCACTGGGTGCATTGGTATTAATTCACCTATCACTTCCTGCAATTTCGCTTGTTAATCATTGCGCGTTACTTCTGCCCTACTTTTCATATTTACCGGTAAAACTAGGAACCTTTTCTACCAACCATACTGATCACCTTTCTCCTTCATATTCCAGATTGTCGAGGAACTTTTAAATCGCGGAGCAAATAAAGAACATCGCAATATTTCCGACTATACTCCCTTGAGTTTGGCTGCTTCCGGCGGACACGTCGAGGTCATTCAACTGCTTCTTCGCCACGGGGCTGAGATCAATTCACGGACGGGCTCCAAGTTGGGCATTTCGCCATTGATGTTGGCCTCTATGAATGGTCACACAAATGCCGTCCGTCTTCTGCTGGAGCATGGATCAGATATTAACGCCCACATTGAGACGAACCGGAACACTGCTCTGACGTTAGCTTGTTTTCAAGGGCGCCACGCCGTCGTTAGTCTACTGGTTGAACGCAAAGCCAACATTGAGCATCGGGCGAAGACTGGCCTAACCCCACTCATGGAGGCAGCCTCTGGTGACTACGTGGATGTTGGTGTTATTCTGCTGGAACACGGAGCAGACGTGAACGCTGCTCCTGTCCCAAGCTCCAGGGATACTGCGCTAACAATTGCAGCTGATAAAGGGAATGTCAAATTTGTCAACTTGCTACTTGAAAAGTAAGGTTCACATTATTATTATTATTATTATTATTATTATTATTATTATTATTAACACTAGAGCTACTCTGTCCTGCCTGGTTCTATACACTTGAGTCCGTTGCTTTTACTGCGCGGTTATCACACCGAATACATTGCTTGATTAAAACGTGAAAATATTTATACTACTTTCCTTCCTATCAGTAACCAAATAATTCATTTTATTTCTCAGAGGCGCTATCGTGGAGGCACGAAACAAAAAGGGTGCCACATCCTTGTGGCTCGCTTCCAACGGTTAGTTTCCCGTTTATTCTTCCAGTCTTTCTGCCGTGATTACCATAAAAGTAGGTACTTTTTGATTGTCTATCAATTTCGGTTATTCATTCCAATTTAGGCGGGCATCTTGAAGTCGTTCAAAGTTTAATCCAATACAATGCTGATGTCAATAGTCAAGATAACCGGAAAGTCAGTTGTCTCATGGCCGCGTTCCGGAAAGGTCACGTGAATGTGGTTCGCTTTCTCGTTCAATACGTCACTCAATTCCCATCGGACAAGGATTGTCTGCGGCACATTAAGACAGCAGTAACTGACAAGGTGAGTGACATCGCTCTTCTACAAGTCCGGTTCGCTTTTAATTAACCCCTGTGGCCACGGAAGTTCCTCTTTTATTCTACTCAAGGCGTTGGTTTGGTTCTCTAGCCACTTAATACCACCTGTCCTTCCATGAATTTGTGTCGGTATGTGTGTCTATCTTAACAGCAGCGCATCGTTTTCTTACTGGTACCTTGCTGGTATACAACCATAATAAGTAGTAATGAGAAATGTTGACATGGGAAGTAGAAGGAGGGCTTAAATCTAAAAGTAAATACCTTTGCCGAACATTCAAAGGTAAGGTGCCAGTAGCTCGCTGATGCCATACACTCACAATTTTCTTACTATCGTGTAAGAATAGTGCAACATAAACGAGCTACCTTGTAAATTACATTGACTGGTATGATAATCCGCTTCACCAAACAGGTGGATCAACGTCGTATACACTTCAAGTATGCGGTCCGGATAAGAAGCGACGGGGGAACACAGTTGGTGCGGGTTGCTGGTTCTTTTCTGCAATGTTTCTAATTCCCCATCAAATGAATCGTGTGGTTTCAGGCGCAATGGGTACTGTGCTGGCGTGGATACATGTGACATAGCTTCGGTAGTGATACAACTAACGTCGCTCTCATTGTGGATTTTAGAGAAGTTGGTACTGTAGGTCAAATAAGTGTTAGATAGAAGTGGACAAGAAGGTAGCCATCAGCAGTAACATGTTTTCGGTTCTCCATCTTGTTGCACGCAACATATTAGTTGACCCATTTAAGACCGATAACCAACGCATGGCGTAAATGCAGCCCTGTGGAATTCATATTCGCATTCGGTCTGTGATACTACCGGACGCCAAAACCTAGGCAGGAGAGCGCTCAGCGTCCTCAACCAGAGCTTTCGGTTCAAAAGGTTGACGGCACGGTATCATCATACACGCTAGCCGAGAGCGAAAGACACACCTAAACTAATATGCCGCAATACAAAAAGCCGAGCTGAAAAATATAAGGTATAACAAATTACGTATTGTTAGATATCACATTTTTCATGGGGTTTGAGATGGTTGTTGGAGGGGATGCTAAAGGGAGGAGGAGGGACAAAGAGAGTCACAATACTAACTCTACTGAGGTTGACTCTTCACCATGTCATCTTGTGTATTCAACCAAACGTGTTCATCCTCCTTGAGTCCTCAACCCAGCAGCTGGGAGACACCAACCGACGCCAGGTCCGAAGTACGGGTTTTCATTCCCTTTGACCAAGTTATCTTTCTCCCCTCGTCCTCTGCCATCTATACCTCCGTCTTTACAAACAACGCACGACGTGGAAGTCGGTTTGCGGACATACGCAACACGTGGCCCAGGCATCGGAGCCTGGTGCGTGATATAATGTTGCTGAACGGCTCACTCATTCTTCCTGCACCAAATGCGCGACGCCGAACACGCTGATTGCTCATGCGGTGTTCCCACTAGACATGAGCGAAGCTTCGAAGGCAGGGATGGCAGAACGTAGCTATGTCCATTGACTTGATGCGCCAGGTTTCACAACTGTACATGTGAGTTGAATGAACAGTTGTAAACTCTGTCCTTCAGAGCGAGAGTGGCAACAAGCCGGTGCCACAAGTGGCGAAGATTGGCAAAATCACCTCGGGTCTTTGTTGTACGGTTCGTGATCTCATCTTCGATCCCACGAGCGCTACTATATCTTCCCAGGTACTTGAGTTCCTGAACTCAACTAGTCATTGCTGAGGGTCAACGCAGAATTGGGTCCCTCGTAAGCTTGGAGGAGGACTTTCCATTTCGATAGTGCAAAACGTAGTCTGAAACGACCGACAGCCAACGCTAATTTATCCAGTGCAGCTTGACACGATCAGGAGCTGTCACAGATTAAGGCAATGTTGTCGCATATTCCAAATCATGCTATCGGTTACCTGGAAGCAGCTCTTCACCTTTGTAAGCGAAGCTTGGGCAACACCTTTTCCATAACTTCGTCGATGACGAACTTAAAGGGGAAATGTGACAATGGACAATCTTGTTTCGCACCACTGGAGATATTGATGCTCGGTGACTGTCGTTAACCTTAATTCTGCCCGAATTATACGCGTACAGTGCTCTTATGACATTTGTGTATTTTTCAGGCCCACCTTTCCTTAATAGACGATCCCGGTGGGCACATCGATCATCTGAATCGAAGATACCTTTGACTTCTAGGAACAAGACTACGGTGAGTCTCCGCTAAACATGGCGATGCTCCAACAGTCGACGTAATCTGAAGATGTGGTCAATGCAGCCCTGATTTCAACTAAACGGGTTTGCCCTTTGCGCATCTGGCTTTTACGGGTGACAGTTTGTAGGGTATGACAGAGGCAAGTATCTTGAAGGCAATTGAGATTGATTCCTCTGTGACTGCTTTAAATTGAACGGAAGCCTCTTTCAAAAATTGGGACTATAACGGATCGGCTCCAGTCTGTTCGAACAGTCTCCGACTCCATGCGTTTACTGATAACTTAAGTAAATCCACCAAAAGAGCAGGTCTCCCGAATTTTAGGAGGGCTGGATGAAGCCCATATGCCGCGGCGGCCTTGTTCATTTTCAGCCGTCTGATCTCACGCTCGATTTCTACGCGTGCAAGTGCATCCAAGGGAACGGTCTAAGGAATAAGGCGCTCATTGGCCGATGGAGAAGCAAGCAATTCTAACCGATTAAACTGCTTCTCATAGTATTCGGGCCAACACTCTAATCGTTTTGAAAAACTATGGATCCGCTGTCCACTGTCGTCTCATCGGGTCTCGCTAACACCAGGTCTCCTGTTTCCTGTGTCAGACGGAATAACTTCTGATGGTTATCAACAACAACGGCTGTCTTTATCTCCGTGGTACGATGATACCACCAGGCTTCGCCGTTTCTCTTCAAGCTATCCCGCAAGTTCACTCTATTTTACGAGTCTGATTGTATTCGCTTCCAGCCGGAACACTTCGGTAAGCATTCAGAAGTTCTAGGAACTGCGCAGACCCGATAACTAGGTTTGCAATTGAATTTGCTACATGAAGACACCTGCTGCTAATAACGTCGGGTGGATATGCGACCGGCGATCTTTAACTGTTTTCAATGAGCACTTATTCAGCGCTGATGTCAGCGTACTTTGATACACATTCAGAACATCTGACTTCGCCAGTTGAAAAGTATTTTTGCGCTCACAGTGCCGTTAGGGTTGGCCGCCGCAACGCACCCAAAAGACTGCGCAAACAAGTGCGTGGTCATAGTCCACGCTCGTGTTCCAAATTTTCTCCAACCTTGATTGATTGTGGTGTGATTGATTTGCTTCCATGGCTGGTTCGAGACTGGTGGGATCCATGTCACCCTTCTTTGGTTGCTGTGTTAGATGTTAGTGCTCGCGAGAAAGAGATGAGCATCTTCACACGGGTGTAGCAACCGCTCCTTCTTATCCTTACTGGAGCTAACACCGTGTTGGCTGCCCAAATGAAGCTCATTACTGGACAAATTTCCAACTTGGATGATCAACTCACCAGCCAGCACCATAGTATCCGAACTTTTTTAACGAAGGAGCGCGTTCAATTGGTGCTTGAAGTCCTCTTTCACTGATTCAGCACTACATTTTGTGGGCGCATAGACCGCAATGTCAATCAAACATCGTTGGTTTCCCTCGCAACTTCTATGCTTTGAATGAGCCAGCCAACATGACAGCGCACCTTCGGTTGTTCATTGGGATCTAATCTATCAGGGCAGCTTCAACCCGGGGGCTAAAAACTGCCCACACCGGCTTGACCGGCATTTGAAGCCGCGTCATCTCCGGACAGGCACAGTGAGAAAATACCGCCAGTGTCGCACGTTGGGAATCGCAGCGTACTCGCAGAACTCCAATCTTGCAGACAGGTTTCTAATAGGCACTTGTCGATCGATAAGGTCGCCAGTGTTTGGATAAGTGCTGCCTCTTGGCCTGTCTACAACAAAGTGCGCAAGTTTAGGCATACCAGTCTTATGAAAGATCAAGGGCTCCAAACAAGCAAATGAACTGACGTTGTCCGGAGCGGCGCTCTGTTATTTCGTGTGAATCGAAACTAGAATACAGACCATTGCTGAACCAAAATAGGGGAGGGCCGAGAATTGGGGTATTTAAAACAGAGGGATAAAAGTGAAGTTGGAACGGGACGATGAGGATGAGAAGGCTCGAAAGAAGGGAGAAGCCGGGCAAACTTGAGTGGTAGCATCTAGACCCCTATCTACCCTGATCGATGCAGCAGATAGGGCGCCTTTAATTATCTCCTGCAACGGCCAGATCACCAAGAAATTGTTTAAATGTAAGGTCATTGTATTGCGTGGATAGGATACTGCCAGATTTCCCAGTCCTAGACAGGAGAACGATTTTGATTCTCAACCAAAGCGTTTGTTTCCAAAACCTGACCGCAAGTCAGCGAGGTTTTGACACTAAACTTCACTGCAACCTGGAGGGCCAGGAGATTGAGTTTGTCAGGCCTCTAACCATTGACCAGTCTGATATGAGTGGCTCTGAAGGTGCGAAAGCACCAGCTATCACCGTGTTAAGGTTCATTCTTCTCGCAATGGCTGCAGGGCAGTAGAGATGTGATACTGGTACATGTGGTGTATATCTGCAACAGTAAGTGCTGCGCTATTCTCAGTCCCCAATTCAGAGGACCGGGGCACTGTATTCGCCCAATCCCTAGTCATTGATTAATCAAGGGGGAATAGCTCACATATCGCCCATGTGCATTGTCTATCATGGCCCAATGGATCGTGTGGAAACGACGCATTGCATTAAGGTCTGGCTTGATTGCATTGACTTACTTGTGCTCGTTAGTTGATATTGAACGCGCACCCGTCCTCGGCTGACATGTCTGGTGCAAAGCGTCGTCATTCCGTAGTCAGTAAACCTGGTAGGGATATGATTTATTTTTTCTTGGCTCGTTTTCACTAGTCCCGCTGCGTTTTTCACCTCACTCTTCTTTTACGCGTACTTATGGTTCTCTATTGTTTAGTGAG